GGGTGGGAATAGATAATAGAAAGAATCAAGAAAGGAAATAACTGAAATGCACAGAGAGAGAGAGAGAGAGAGTCAGGAAGAGAAAATTTCCTTTTGTTCTTTCTTTTCTTGGTTTCTTTTTTTTTTTTTTGGGGTGGGGGAGGGGTTTGGGTGTGAATAGATAACATGTGTGTGTATGTGAGAGAGAAAGAAATCAAAACAAAAGGATGAATCAAAAAACTTTTGGCCCACTACCTTTTCGGGTGGTCCGGAACTTCTTTGTATGACGTCTTATGAGCCTCTTTGCCTTAGTGATGGTCAGCTGCCTCGCAAAAGGGGAAAACTCGGCATCACTTTCACTCCACTCACCCTGGAACTCATTCTCGGCATCCCCCCTCATTGTTCTCAACACAAAGGCCTTGGCTCTTCGCCTTTGAGAGTTGAAGAGCCCCCTTATGGACGTCACAAACCCATCACCTGCCCCATCGCTTGGCCTCTTGAACCACGATATGGGGTACTGGTCTGATTTACCATTTTGCCCCCCATCACTGTCACTGAAGTTCAGGTCACTATCTGGTGAGGCTCCCCCACTGACTTGTCTTTGGCTCTGGACTTTGTCTTTAAATTTTTTACCCTGAAAAAAGGGTCATTATGTTAGGTCATTTCCCTTGAACAGGAATTGTTTACGTTTTGTATCGCATTCTATGATAGTTCTGTATATATTGGTCATCATATAGCTGTCTAAGCAGTCCAAACTAATTGTGACCAACTCACTTGTATATAAGCAAAGCTCCTATCATTCATTAATCAAGAAATTATTTATTAAATCCAATTTTATTCTTTTTCTTTTTAGTGGAAAACTATGGGCAAGTGCCCATCATAAGATAAAAGGATGGACAAGAAACCCATAACAATAGGCAGGCACTGGAAAAGCTAAGGCACTTCTTCATAACAACTACAGCGACTAGTTTAGAATCACAGAAAGAAAACAACACTCTCTAGATAGAGAGAATCTGTCTGCCAATCAGCTACCTGCATGCCAGTCACAGACTTCAAAACTCCCCATATGATATGCTTCTTAACACGTGAGAAGAGTCGCCTCCACGTGCCCGTGAAATCTACACGGGTGAAAGTATCCATCAAAAGCCTTAGGTCGTTCACTGCAAACCTTGAACCCTCGTAGGTAACAAGCAATTCAACCTAAAAGGATGCACACAGTAAAAGAACAGTTTAAGCTATGGCATAAACCTGGTATTTTGAGATGAGAAAGACTATAAAAAGTATGACATAGTCCAATGAACTGGTATGGTGCTCCATGCTTCATCCACCATGGTTGGGTGAAGCTTAATTGTATGCATGTGAATTCCCCTGTAGGGCACCACTCAGTTAATCTCCACCATCTACAAGAGGGAACTCAAGGAGGATATAGTCAAGGTGTACCATACAGCACAAATCATTGGAATATCGTGTACTTCGCCTTTTAAGAACATGGTTTCATTGGTGGGATACCTGCTCAAACCCCGCACTAGCATTGCTAAAATTAAAATAAAAAAATGTATGGTTTCATTTAGAAGGGCACCTGGCTTATCTTGATATTGTGAAACTCCATTGTCTTCCTCCCCTTAGATCTTTTCTCATCTTGCAACTTTCCAACCTTCTTCTCTTCATGGGAAAAGCGGCCAGACTTGAGTGTGGGCTTGGGGTCTTTCGACCTGCTCTTTGAGGTATCCTCATAGCCAGCATACTGGTGCTCAGAGGATGAGTTAAGAGACTCGCTTTTTGTATTAGATACACTTGCAGAATGAACTTGTAATACTAGCTCAACAGCAACTGATTCAGCCACATTCTCTTCCCAGTTTTTATCGAAAGAGGAGGTTCGCCGGAGCTCTGAATTTGTGCCACAGACCATATTTGCTTTCAGGTTCTGCAATTTTGAGCCCTGCATTTTAGCAATTGGATTGTTATTTTGGAAAAATGGTAGTATCTTGCAAATCTTATTTTTTAACAAGTTGCTAATTCACAAATTTCTAGATTTAACATTCCCCATATCTCAAATGAAGTATTAGAAGAAAAAAATGCATAGCATAATCCAATGGTCATGGTTACAGTACTCCAAAGCACATCCACCATCTGCTCCCTATGATGGATGCTGGAGATTAACAGTAATTGGCCCCTGCATGATATTCACCCAACACAGTTAATCTCCAATCATCTGTCAAGGGGAGCAGATGGGGGATGCAGCTTCGAGTAACACAAAATGGTATATACTTCTGCTTGGACAAAATAAACTTAGTTCTCGTATTTTCAGACCTTAGTTCCATACAAAGAAAAGTATATTCAATGAAAGAAGAATCACAAGGAAAAGAAGCAAGAATAAACTGATGCTTCTCCAGGCTCGACGACCAGGAGAAGCAAAACGAAGTCAGGATTTCCATTCTAATGGTTTTGAAAGAAGCTAAAGGTTTCCAAATAGCAAAAAATGAGTTGACAAAATAGTTCTATATAGCAAAAGAGATACGGAAAGACTTGCAATAATAAAGCATACATGAGTCTGGGGCTTCAAAAGGAAACAGTAATAAAATACTTGAGTCTGGGGCTTTAAAAGATCCAGGACATGGGTTACAGTTTTATTTATAGAAACACAATCGAGTTTCCAAAGTTAACTGAACATTGTAATAGGGATCAAAAAGTGGACATGACCCAACTCAACTGGGGGATCTGGTAGTATTACAATCGGGTCAAAATTTCAATGGTAAAGCAAGTTCTCCACTTCAAGAATATGATCACTAGCAAATAAGATATAGATCATGTCCTAATAAACTTACTTGGGAGACATCACCATGTGAACTCTGACTTAAGCCTGTGGCCATTGAGGGTGTAGCAGACATGCCATGTTTAATGGGAACTTCAGATTCTCTAACTGAGCGACTGCTTGATGCCACAGATTCTGCAGATAAAGATATATTTTTCTTTCCACGTCTTGAACCCGCTGTTGTTGACACTTTCCATACTTCCTGCATATTTCACAAGGAGATTCCAAATTAAAAAGCCTCAAAAAAAAAAAAGCACATAGCGCAAGCCAAGGCACTTGAAATATCGAAGGAAGTTGCTTGCCTGGCGTCTTTGTGAATCTTGTTCTTCTTCAGGAAAGAAATAGTCCCACATCATTCTGTACATTGTCTCAGTCAGATGTATTTTCAAGGGATAAATCTCTACCTGTATAGACAAAAACAAGTATCGAATTATTCCTCATGAGAAACATTCAAACCCTAAAAAGAGAACTATTAAGTTGATAAAATGAATGTAATAGAGAAGATAATGTTCACTGAAAATGAATCCACTCCATAATCGCACAAATTTTCTCACAGTAATTTTCAATTTATACTATCAAATCAAGTTGAAAAGGAAAGAAATAATAAGTAATGGAATAATAACAACACAAGGCTTGTAAGTTATCACATCAGTGGCATTTCCCCTTGAAATCAACATAATATCAACTACTCCTTCATCAAACTCTCAGGAGATTGTGGTATACAAAAACAGGTACAGTTTAACATAAAAATTAATCAGGATATATTACGGGATTAAAGACCTGCTCAGGTTCTTCCTTGACTATGTTTGATGGCTGGGGTTACCTAGAGATAGAGAAAATGAGGTTTCCCCCCTCCCCTCCCCAAAGAATGTGTGTGGGGTTACTTAGAGATAGAGAAAAGGAGCTTTTTTTCCAAAGAATGTGGTGTATGCTATTCGATTTTACTTCAGATCTAAGATGCACAAATACCGGTTAGGAGGGGCAATTTGGTTTAAATGGAAAGCTCTAAAAGGGCAAGGGGAAGGCTCAAAAGGACACAAATGGAAGTACTGCGAAGAGATATAGTGACCTACAGTCTAACTGAGGGTATGACCCTTGATAGAGCAGAATGGTGTAACAGAGATCCATATAGCTGATCCCAAATAGTTGGGATAAAGCCCGACTGATAGTGGATCATCATCATCAAAGTCCTTTCTGAATTATTTGAGGTCGGCTACATAAATCCTGGCCCACTATTTTGCTCTATCAAGGGCCATATCCTCAGTGTGAGGCCATAAGTCCCAAAATCTTTTCTCACTACTTCCAACTATGTCCAAATGCAAATATTGATTCAAAAATGGATGTGGAGAATGGGGATATAACTTGGCATTCACAAAATCCCAAGACATGTAAGGAAACGGGCCTGGGTCAAAGATGGGACAGGCTAGGTTTTCATAGCCCAATGTCTAGGTTCCAATCCTATGATACCTTGTCAAACAGAAAAAAAAATCCCAAGACATGTATACAGATACAAGCATCCAATCCAACATATGGCTACATATACTTTTCATCATTTTATATAATACTGTACAACAATAATGCGCATTCAGCATGTAAATGCATATATAGTTAACCACATAAGAGCAACTGCGTATCATGGCTAGCTGATACAAATTTCAAATTTATATTCTAAGACTTATTTGTCCATTACCTTCTTTCCCTATGTTGAAAAATATATATGCAGAGCAATTTGTCAATCTACAATTGAATATAGTTATATATTTACAAGGAAAGATGCACCCTTGTTTTGACTCTTATTTCACAGGCTGTAAAGAAGAAACGTGAAAAGAAATTAGAATTTCTATTACAATAAAGCTGCAAATTATTATATTTAAAAAAATAAAGCTGCAAATTATCATCTAAAACAAAAAGAAGTAACCGGTCCAGGAAGACATATAGAGGTCAAACAAAAAGAGAGAGGGCCAATGACCTGGAAAAGTTCAAGAGGAGAACTTCCATCCTTTGGGGCTCCCTGCTTCGCATCTACACGAAGCATAACGTTTCTGGAAACAAAACACCAAATAGGATCATAGCACAATGAGCGTTCCGTCCATGCTAAGTATCTTAATTCATTCAAATGTAATAATGAATGTAAAATCTTCACAATCATTGACCAGTAAGAAGGTAATAAATCTCCTCAGGAAAATGGCAAACTACCCCAGACATATGGTGCAGGCACTAGATTCTTTCCACTTACAATCAGTGATCTACTTATTCAGGCACTACATTATGCATAGCACAAATATAAAATATTGCCCTTGACATGCAAATCTGGTCACATGGCAGTACACTGAGAGGATGCAAAATTGCCTTACCTTATTCAACAAATAATTAGCAGTTTTTCTTAAAAGAACTCAAAAAATCTGCTAAGCACTAGATACAGCAAATTCTTTGTTCAATATCCCCCCATATGAATTTCTAAATACAACACAAAAACATAAGAAATATCAAAATATACATTTCAAGTTACTTCTAGCCACCACACTTGCAATCAAAAAGGTATTTGTACTTATGAATATCAAAGACTTAAAAGAGGCATCAAGCCTGCTAAAAATAAAAAGATGGAATTTGTTGGTGCTCAACTGCAGAAAGAAAACACAGTTAACTTCAAAACCAAGCTGACACAAACTATGGTTTAATTCAGAAAATAAAGTCACGATAGTCTGGGACATGTGTACAATAACTACAAGAAACAAGCGTATCCCTAACTGGAGAATAAGAATGTCTTCAACAGGAGAAATGTAGAGAAAATTTAATATAAAATGGGGTTTACTGGTTATTAACTCCATAGCAGAGAAGGTAATGCTTTTAAGCGCAAAATCCAAATGAAAATGGATGCAGGTGTAAAAAAACAGATGCAGTAAAACCATGGAAAGTCACTAAATACAGCTTCCTTAAAAGCAATATTAATAGAGGAAGAACGCATATGCTAGTTATTCTCACCTTCCCCATTCAGGAGGAGGATTCCACGCAGATAACAGCATATCAGATTTGACATTAGGCATGCAGTTTCTCACAACAAATGACTTTGTTGTAAATTGTGCAACACCAATATCTTTGTAATCGCGATCAAAATCATAGTTCTGTCAAAAATCAACTGGACTATTAGATGCAACAGATGTGAAACATAAAAGATGTAAGAAAAGTGAATGTGAAAAATGGAAAAGCCTTGCAATAAGGCATATTGTGTGTATACACAAAGAAGATGTTTAACCTACTTAGTTTTTGAAATGCTACAGGAAGGTAGCAATGTAATCTCATGATTCGAATCGGTTTTAATACTCAAGATATATGACCATTCTCATGATTCTCATGTACATCCAAACATTATAAATCCAAACATTACAAAGAAAAGGTACATTACCACCAAAGAAAATGGCCTCCAAAGAAATTTTGAGTATGTCAATAACATCCACGTATAAATCTATCAAGCTGTTACAAAAGATACGTGGAGCATCTATATACCTAGGCAACCACACTTTCTAGGAGAAACTTTTGAGACTCCCACTCTTGTCATATTTATCACATACCTCTCCACATTTATGTACTTGCGATCAGAATTCCTCAAAATTCTCGTCTCTTATTGATTTCAAATAGTAAAACTTTCCATGGTATATGTTTCATCCAAGGTTTACAAAAACGGATCAATGACCCAGATCGGCCACCCCAAAAACCGTTGGATCGGTGGATCGGCAATCCAAATCGAAAAATCGGCTGGATCGGCAAGATTCGGCATTAAAAATTTTAAAATAAAAATTATTAACATTTTTTAAAAATCTATTTTTTTAGGTTTTCAAAAAAATAGTGGTATTGCATTATAGTTTTCTTTATTTTGTTGTAAATACATAAGTATTGAGAACTTGTCTCATGTTTGAGTGTTTGTTATTTATTATATTCATTTTATAGTCAAAATGAAATTTAAAATGCAACTCACTGCAATAGAATGGATCTATTGGCTCAAATTTATGGTGAAAAAAAAAACAAAAAAGACTATAAAATGTTTGGACCTTTTGACTTAATTGAGAGAAACAAGGGTATGTCGCTTGCCAGCAAGTTCAATGCCGGCTCCTTCCTCGTCAGCTTTATTCAATTCCTATGCTCAGCTTTTTCACGGCCACCCCTCCTCTGCCACCCTTCCACCTCCTTCGCCCCCCTTCCCTCCCTCTTCCCCTATTTTTCTAGGCCTTTTCTCTCATCGTCATTGACTGGGTCCTCAATCATTCGTGTCCAAGACAACCCCTGCCAACCTGGTGTGGCCCTGCTCAATTCACTAGTAGGCTTCTTCCATCCCCCCAGAGCAGACTTGAGAGCCATTGAAAATGGGCCCAACATTGGATGTCGATCCCTTCAAAGAGGTGTTCTTTTCTCTTTCCCCTCCCGAGAGGTGTCGTCACGATCTGAGAATTCCTCTGCCTTCTTTCAAAGGAGCATCTCTTTTCTTATCCAGTTGGAACCCTAACTTTAGTACTTTTCTCCCTCGCCAAATTTGGTTACGGTTGTTCAACATTCCCCCTCCATCTCTGGAACCTTAATACTTTCAAATGTATCCGCAACACAGTAGGGGGTTTCATCAGCGTCCACTGGAAGCTCCTTCCCCTCGCATCTATCCAACTCCTCGTTGAATCGATCTTGCCGGAGCTTATCCCTCAAGCAACCTATATTTCGTCTAATGGCCTATTCTATAGGGTCCACTTGACCTAGATTCCCTCGCTGCCTTTTAATCGCTATTTTCAAGCACCCATTGTCTCGTGGGCCCTCAAGCTACCTAGCGACGTTCATGAGCCCTCATCTTCTTCGAATGGTTAGAACTTGGTTTACCGGAGAAAATGGTACCAGAGAGGCAACCCCATTGAAAACTTCTGTCATCGACAATTTCCAGCTAAAGCCCCAGTCAAGCCATCAACAGCTATCGACGAAGGTCCCAACTGTCGCTTGACACCTGCATCCACAGTCCAGTAGCCTGCAGAGCCACAATTGTCGACCTCCGTCTTAGCCCCGTCCACATGGGCTGGTAGGATTTCCCCTCTTGGTTTTAGCCTCCCCGAGCCCCATGTTGTATGCCCCCCTTCGCATAAGGTGGTAGCTTTTATTGCCTCCTCTAGCCACGTGGCTAGCATCGCGTTGTCCTCCAATAGTAGCACCCCGAGTAATCCCCTTCTTGCTCCCAGTTTTCCCCCCTTATTCCTTTTTCATCCCTCCCCTTTTTGTTTCCCCCTTTATTACCTACTCCCATATTGCAACCTCCTCTAGAACGTGTGGCAGCTTCTCTTGAGCCACAGGTGTTTCCCTCTCTACTGCCCCTGGACTATGTGGCAGACTCTCACAAGCTCAGTTGTTGCCCTATTTGATCCCCCTTCCAGCCTGCATCTCCCCTGGTGGCTCTGTGCCCTCTCCAATCTCCATGCGACTACCTCCTACCGTGAATTCCCGCGGTCCTCACTGCTCTCCGTCGCCAAGTTCTCCCTCCCGACGTCTTTCGACAGCTTCTCTCCCCCTGCAGCTTCCTCCTTGTTCTGCAACCCTGAACGCCCGTGAAACCGTCGTGCGTGAGCCCTCCTTGCTTTTGGTGCCCCCTGCCTCCTATCGCCTGCTTCACAACCGTGGCAAAGAGCCCTTGGAGTCCCCTGCTTACCACTGTCAAGTCACCCCTTGGCAGATGTCTTCCCCTCACCTTTCTCGTCGATCTCTTCTCTCTCTATCCCACCCCCTCCAGCCTCTCCCCCCCCCCCCCCCCGGCCTACCCCTCCACCTCCTCTCGCCCCTCTCCCTCCCTCCCTGCCTCCGTCTCTACCTTCCTCTTCCTCCTATTCCTTGGGAGCCTTTGCCCCTTCTCTCCTCATTCCCCCTTCATTGTCTTCTTCTTCCCTCCATCACTGAGTCTCTTCTTCTCCCAACTCTCGGCCCCCTACTATTCCCAATCCCCCCCCAACGTTTGCTCCTACCTCTCTTGCGCACTCCCCTGTTTTCGCACTTGTTGTCTTGGTTCAGGTGCCTTCCCCTTCCTTTCTCTGCAAGTCTTTCCCTTCTCGAGTGGTATTCTCCTTATCCTCGACCCCCCTTTGGAGGCTTATCCTCCCCTGATTTCTAAAACTTGCCCCCCCTCTCCCTCTCAGACTAGCTCTCTTGGGGATTTATCAAGCCCCTCTAACCAGCTTTTGGTTGATTCAACTTTTGTGGATGCCCGACGTTCTCAAAGTTATCAAGGTTATGGGCATGGCTTTCTCGGGTCCGTAGATGGTCTTGATTGAATTTATCAAAGAATGATTCACAGTTTAAAGAAAACTTGTCCTCTAGAGATAGGAGGGAACTGTCTACCGTTATTTGCCATATCAACTATGATTGTGCATCGGCTGTCCCGGATCAGCCTCTTGTTATTGAGCCCCCTTTGAGTGGTCGTCCTGCCACTAGATATTCTGGTCGACGCCTGCCCATTCTCTCTCCTTTCCATGAGGATCTTAACATGGAATATCAGGGGCCTCGGTCACCCCTCAAAACGGCGTCACGTTCTTAACTTCTGTCTACAACACTCTCTTGCTATCATGGCTCTACTAGAGACCAAGCTTCACGACCCCTCGCTTTAAGAAGTGCACCAAATTTGGGGTCGTCGCCCTTGTCAGTGGCTTGCCCTACCTTCCAATCGGGCCTTGGGCGGTGTTTGGGTAATATGGGACCCATCCCTTCACTCCCTCTCTTCGTCCTTGTGAGAGAGTTCTTTGTTCTATCTCTCCTTAAAAATTCAGATGGTATGCCTTGAAAGTTTACTGTAGTTTATGGCCAGAATTCCGCTTCACGTAGAGATTGCTTGTGGCAAGAGCTCCAAGCGATTACCAAAGTCCCCCCATCGAATTGGTGTATTTGGAGGGATTTCAATACTACCCACTGGTCATTTGAACGGAACTCCAGTTCAAGAATTTCTCCCTCGATCTTGGCTTTCTCAGATTTTATTATGAGAAACCATCTACTAGATTTGCCTCTCCAAGGGGCCCGCTTTACTTGTTCAAACCACTTAGAGGACCTCTCCTTGTCAAAACTTGATTGGTCTCTTCTCTCTCTAGATTGGGATTCTACGTTCCCCAATTCCCACTCAGCGGCTCTTCCCAAGCCTACATCTGACCACAGGCCCATTCTCCTCAATACAAATGATTCTGACCTCGATCTTAAGCCCTATTGCTTCGAGTTATCCTGGCAGGAAGAGCCCAACCTTCCATCTTTTATCACCTCTTGGTGGCAATCTTTTGCCCCTCTTGTTCTTGGATGGCCGGGCTTTCGCCTTCAGCGTAAGGTCTTTCTCTTAAAGCTAGCTCTCAAAGAATGGCGTTGGAGCCTCCCTGGAAACTTTCATGCTCAAAAACAGCCATTACTTAACACAATCCTGCATCTTGACACTCTTGAGGAATCCTTGCCTCCGCTGCTGACCTTAATGCTCGCCTTGAAGCCAAATTAGCCCTGCATTCAATTCCTCATAAGCAGGAAATCTTTTGGGCACAAAGATCTAAGGTCAAGTGGTTAAAACTTGGTGACCAGAATACCACCGTTTTTCACAAAATTGCAATTGTCGGAAGCGCGGCAATACTATCTCTCTTGTCAAACCTCACAATCAGTACTTGGAAGACAAGGTTCTCATTGAAGATGCCATAATCGATTACTTCGAATATCTCTTCACCTCACAAGGTGGACCGAGGCCAATCTTGTCCTCCCTATATTCCCCATGACAAAGTGGTGTAGCTAGAACAACCTTTTGATGAGAAGGAAATCCTGGAAGCAGTTAAGTCCTTAGGCCAAGATTGACCGCCTGGCACTGATGGCTTTCCCCTTGCTCTATTCCACCAATTTTGAGAAACTTTAAAGGATGACTTGATGGCATTTTTTGCCTATTTCCACTCAAGTGGCATTGTAAACAAGGCCATACTTTCTTGGCCCTCATTCCCAAAGTCGAAGTTGCGGAAGAATTAAATGATTTTAATAGTTCCTAAAAGATTATTTCCAAGGTCCTTGTCTCAAGAATTCGAGTAAGTTCTGGGTTGGGTGATCTCTTCTACTCCTTTGTCAAAAATCGTCAAATCCGGGATGGTGCCCTCATCGCTCAAGAGTGTCTTCACATTCAGCATTTGGCCAAAACCCCGGGTTTGGTCATAAAGTTAAATTGAGAGAATGCCTATGACCATGTGGTTGGGATACCGTTGACGAGACTTTACTTCGCATGGGGTTTGGTGATCGCTGGCGCAGATGGATGAGAGGGTGTGTTTCTTCATCTTCCTTCTCGGTTATCATCAATGGTACCCACAAGGGCCTCTTCCGAGCATCAAGGGGTCTTTGGCAAGGTGATCCCCTTTCGCCATTCCTTTCTTTCCATAGCTGGTGAGGTTTTTAGTACCTCTCTCTCGGGATTGTATCAAGCTGGTCTTGTCGGGGGATTCTAGGCTAGTCCGAGAGGTCCCTCTATCTCCCATCTCCAATATGCCGATGATACCCTCCTTTTTTGTGATGTGCTCCTAGACCAAGTTCAAATTCTTCACCTCTTTCTCCGATGCTTGCAATGGGCAATGGGATTTAAAGTAAATCTTGCCAAGACCAACATGATGGGAGTGGCCTTAACCCTTGATTCGGTAGCGCAATTTGCAAACCTCTGGGGTAGTCTAGCCCAACTATTGCCTTCCACCTACTTAGGACTGCCCCTGTGATTCGGCAGGCCCAAAGCTTGTCAATGGTCACACATCATCGACAAGATCGATAGGAGATTCACGGGGTGAAAGGTAGATTTCTCTCCGCTGCAGGTAGACTCACTCTTATCAAGGCTACTCTTTCAAGTATACCCATCTACCAGATGTCCTCATTCAAGATTCCGGCTTCAGTGGCAAACCGACTTGATCAGCTCATGAGAACTTTCCTATGGTCTGGAACTAGAGGAAGGAAATACCACCTCATTGCCTGGAAGACAGTTTGTACTCCAAAATTTCAAGGAGGCCTCGACATTTGCAATTTCAAAAGGACCAATGTCGCCCTCATGGGTAAATGGTAGTGGAGATTTGCAACCCAAAGGGACCACATCTGGTAACAGGTAGTTCGCCTCAAATATCACTGCCTCCGCAATGAGTGGTTCCCGACCAGCAGGGTCCCCAACAATGCCTCAAGCATTTGAAAGGGCTTCCATTTGTGCCTTCATCGCTTTGTTGATTCCATTCAACCGTCTTCTAATCTTCTCCACACGCACAAGCACTCACCATGGCAGAATGTTAATCAAGTTCAAGCATTGTTGAACTTCTGTATTGGAATTGGCTTTGTCAACACGAACATCCTTCTTAGTATCGATCTTCAACAAGATATCACTCACAACTATTATCTCACGGATAAAATGATACATGACGTCAATATGCTTTCTCCTCGCATGATAGACTTAGATCTTCAACAAAAGTATTGCACTTTGACCATCTGAATAAACGATAGTCCGATCTTATTGTAAGCCCAAGTCACATATAAGTCCTCTAAGTCAAATAACTTCTTTATGCTTCCATAATGGTCGGATACTTGAATCAGTCACACCCCTTTGAAGGAGTCTTTCCCTTCCTTTTTTTGATTGGCTCGCTATCCCCTCCCTATCCCATATAGCTGAGAACTTTGAATTCTCTCCCCGTGGTAAGGTTTGGACCCCACTTTTCAGGAGGCCCCTAATGATGCCGAGTTTCCATCTTTCATCAACCTGCAACCCTTCTCCATCACTTCTTCCTCCCTCCTTTTGGTCCTGACAAGTTAGTATGGACCCCCTCTCCCTCAAGTGTTTTCTCTGTTTCTTCCTTTTACAATGCCCTTCTCCCACTTTCCCAAAGCCATTCCCCCATCACCCATACTGCAGCAAAGGCTTGGGTAGTCATGGGGAACCTAAAACTCAGTTCTTTCTTTGGGTGGCGACCATTAAAGGGTCCTCACCTTGGACACTTCCAAAGAAGGGGTTTGCAACTCCCAAACAGGTGCATGAGGTGTTGGAATGAAGCGAAACCAATGCCCATCTCTTTTTGCATGGTGAGATAGCTTCCCACCGATGAACTTCTGTCCTCAATCTTTTTGGATGGTATTGGGTAACTCCGCAGTCCATTCCCCATCTTTTCTCTTCCTACCTCTCACCCCCTAGGGCTATATCTGGTATTCTTCTTTGGAAAGCCTCGGTTGCAACCATCCTTGGACCCTGTGGCTGGAGAGAAACTAAAGAATCTTTGGGGGAGAGTTCTCCAATACCGACACCCGGATGGAAAAGGTGCGATCCATGGTCATTTGTTGGGCAACTAACTACAAACTCTTCAAGCATATTTCTCTAGAGGCTCTTCGCCAAAATTGGAAGGCCTTGCTTCTTCTGAGGGCGTATCACATCCTTCAAGCCTCGTCTTGGTCTCCTCCTACCTCCGGCTCTACCAAGCTCAACTACGATGGCTGCTCCTCGAGTAATCCTAGCCCTTCAAGAGTAGGTGGGATCTTTCGCGACTTCAACGGCCGCACCGTTTTCTCTTTCGCACACTCCATTGGCTCCTGCGACTCCAACCATGCCGAGGCCATGGCTCTCCTATTCGGCCTAAGAAATTTCAATTCCGAATGGGTAACCTTTTTGGTCATTTACGGGAAACGGACCATGGCTCACAGCAGTATTACATGAACACCGATACAAGCGTCAGTATCCAACAAGTCTACTTCAGCTTAAAAGATTCGGCTAGACACGTCCACAGAATCATTTTTTGATAAATAAAATATTACGTTTACTAGTATTTATAACATAATTTCCTATATTATATAACATATGAAGTGGTCTAGGAAGTGGTAGAGAATGGTAGCCCAAGGTTACCTAGGTTTTAACCCTACCTTGAGCACTTTTATTCTATTTATTATACCCCAGCATCCCCATGTATCAACATTTGTTGAAGTGATCAACATGTGACACCACCCATAATGGAGTGTCAGGTGCACATTGTCGCACAGTTTCCATGCAATGCACGTTCCCTGAGCCAGTAATTTACAATCATTTATAAAACCCAAACTGGGACAACATGATTGAGTTCATTGCCTCAATCCATGTACATTAGACTAATACTGGTTTACCAACAATGTGAAGCCCACATCCAGAAAAGCGAAATGTAGTGCCATATGAGAATGCCAAACAGCTATACCACACAGAAAGGGGAACTTCACCATACTACCTAAATGCCCCAACACTCCAGGCCTCACTTACATTTGGAAGCTAGAGAGGACTCATAATTTGTTTTTCCACTGCATATTCTCACTCTGAAGCCCTTACCGCTGCAAAGCAGCTTTCTAACAATAAATGAGGGGACATTGATTTAAGTTGTAAGAGCCAGCCTCTAGACGAGCTTGAGAATCCAAAACATCCTGAAGTGGTGGTCCATAAGTTGTAAGAGCCAGCCTCTACTGCTCTAAGACGAGCTTGAGAATCCAAAAACATCCTGAAATGGTGGTCCATAGACCCCGAAAAACAAATCTAGCATCCATTGATCTTCTCCAGGCAAGTTTCCACATCTGAAGAAAAGGCCCTTGCAGATGCACACAACTGCCATCTTGTACCAATGCAATCCAACAAAGGGAAGTATCAGACAAAAGCATACGAGTTCTTGGCGAATATAATTCCCTCAGACAACCCAAGGAGAGCTTATAAACAAAGTTGTCAACCAGCAACCCCAAGAATCATAACCTTCAATCACCAGCAAAAGTTGAAACTCTCCATTGTCCAGATGGGCTTCCTTTTCCTTCTATGATGCCGGACATGGCTATTTGTGTCGACGTCAGCTATTTGTGTCGGTGTCAGATATGCATAAAGGGTTTATGTTTTCTCCTTACATGAAGGAGATGGGCACCTATGTTTTCGCGAAAATGAGAACAAACATCAATTAGCAGCAAAGCTGCAGAAAGCAAAAACAAAGGTATCTGTGTGCGTATGTCAGCACATGTGCATAAACATACACACCATCAAGTAAGAAATCCATGGCCGAGCAACCAATATGGTGGGGAACAAAAAATAGCAAACCCAAGGCTCACCAATGTTTTCATCCTTTTGCCAATAACAGTTACAAGTTGTTTACGTCCCAGCTATGTTCCAAATAAGTTGCATGGTAATATTTATACACCTACATCTTGGCATACCTTCAGCAGGTGCAGATTATTATCTCAGAATATGTAATGATTATGTACGGAGAATTCATGCAAACAAGAGTACAGAAAATCACCCCCAAGTAAACTCAATTACATGACAAACAAGATCTTAGCCACGTAAGATAAAACAAAATATAGAAAAGGCAAAACAAGAGAACCATGCCGTTAGGAATGTCTGTTTCTTTGTATTGTACAATTAAGCATGTCCTAAAGGTGCGATTGTAACATATTAAAACACTTACCATGTTATTTATCTCGGCTTCTGCAAACGATTTACCATCTGCTAGCATGCTCCATACCACTTTATTGATTCTCAAAGAAATCCGCATTGCATAAGAGGGGCTTTTGTTTTTCTCCTTCTCCATGAGGCGTAAATGTGCAGCTTTCTGTAAAGCCAGCCTTAAAGACACAGATGCTGCCTTCCTAGCCATTTGTTTATCTCCCAACTCTTTCTTTAAACATTGAACCTAAAAATTAAAGCATCAAACTGTATTACACTATGAAAAGCATACATTGCAGAAATATGATTTCCTAATAAACTCAAGGAAACTCGCTACAGTGGCCTGTGGAGTCTATGTAACCATTCTCATAACAACTGCTAGGGAAAAAATCTCTTCTCTAAGAGGAGAGAAAACCTATTCCATACAATTGCCAAATATAGGCATGATAAGAATTTCCTTAGCCCTGAAGATAAATGTATCAGCATTTCTCAATCCAATGAGTAAAGGGGACAGTGAAGACCATTATGCCTGACAGTTTTGAACCAATTACATAGAAAAAGAGAACAGAAGCAATAGCCATTTTCTTTTCTGTATAAAGGCTTTTGGATGTAAGAAGTCCTCATTGAACTGCAATACAAGACTAAAACTTAGCCATCAACAACCACGACCCAACACATAAACTCAAGGCAAATAATAAAACATATGGGGAAAGTAAAACAACTAAAACATCATAATCAAACATACTAAATTTGAACACTATCGTCATCATCACCATCTTCATCCGAGCCTTATCCCAACTGCTTGGGATCGGCTAAACAAATTTTTATCTGCCATTCTGCTCTATCAAGGGCCAGAGCCTTAGTCAAGCGCAAATTGAAGAAAACAGTAAAACCACCAAAAGATAATTAAACATATTAAATTGAAGAAAACAATAAACCCACTAAAGTTAGTATTGCTGCCACTTTTGACACACATGAAACTGGAACTGTGGTTAATTCAAAAAATTTGAAGCAGGGAAAAGAACAAGGACATAATTTGATAATATGCTTCCAGGTAAGCATTCAGCCCAACTTACAAACATAAAGTTCTATCCTGAAAGAACAACTATTTGGATCAACTTTCCAAACAGTGATCTTCCACTACTTTATTTTCATTAGCTCTCATTACCCTAAATTCCCAGGCTTATTCACAAAAAGGCACTCAGTACATTGGAAACTATGACAAAAACAAATGACAATGAGTGCTAAGGTTTCTGAAAATCGACATACAACATTTCCCAGTATATGTATCAAAAGTATATATGCATGATTGCAAAATGCAATTTTGGATCCAAAACATATGTATTGATAGGTAAGATTTTAAAGAAAATGTTCGGCAATATTTCCTCATTTAACCAGATAATCATCCTTATAGTGCGTACAAATGTAGTAGAAACAGCAAAGAAGAAGAACTGCACAAGTTTATTTGGGACCATATTGCTAACTGCGTGCTACTTTTCACTTGAAATCTATTCAATAAAACACAAGCAGTATAGAACTAAGCACTCACCAGTACAGACTTCCCGCTAGTAATCATCCATAGATCACCATACTTTTCTAGTATGGAGCTTATCTCCCCGGAGGTATCACTAGGAACAGCTAGGGTCCTAATGTCATCAAGAATCAACTTTTGTTCTCTTTCTGCTTGCTCAAGGTTGATTCGTGCAAGTTCTACTTCTTCAACACCTTCAGGAACAACCTCATCTGCCTCTTCTTCAACATCTTCGTCCTCATCAGCAGGATATGAGAGACTAGATTTACGAGGCCTGGAAGTTCAATATGAAAAATACATAAAATGAGCAATCGCAGAGATGCGTCCAGATCATGACATTCCTAATAAATATCAATCTTTATCCAGATATACATGCCCCATAATATCAAGATAAACAGCAAGACAAGACATTACGGCCCCATCTGGCTCCTAGGTTTTACAAAACCCAGGTTTTGACCAATTTTCTTCTTTTGGTTCCAATTTCTCCCTTGAAAATTCCTTGTTTTGACACATTTTGGGGATTCGGAAAACCTTGCTGAAATTTGGCTGGGTTTTGGACAACAATCTTCTCTAAATCTCTAAACCCACTCCTTCCAACTTCTCTCTCTAAAACTAACTCCTCTCACCCACAGCAGAGCTTTTCCTGATCTCACTCCCCATGGAATGTGGGGTTTATATTTTGTTATTACCTTTTGTGTTATTAGTTCATGTTTTATGTTTTTGAAGTTGGGTTTGAGTTTCATCACCAATCAATCATTGGGAAAAATAAATATTCCCAAAAACATAACCCTTACAATTTGAAAATCCAAAGAAGGACATAAATAAATTGTCAAGGAAAACAAACCCTTCCAACTTGAAAATAGATACTATTAGGCAAAAACCAAGTCCAAACAGTGAAAATACAATATTTGGGTTTTACCTAAATGCCATCCAGACAGTATATGAACATGGGCTTTTAACCAAACCTAGGTTTCAGATTATCCCAGAGCCAAATGGGCAGTTTAATAGTTCTATGGACTTGATAATAATATTAAGCAGATATATTGGCAACTAAATGCCACTAAGCGCCAAAAAGGAAGATAAGGGAGAAACACAGAAACAAGAAACAAACTGTTGTAAGAATACATAACCTCCATCCATCCTCCCTCAACAAAGAATCATGCAAATATCTTAAACTTCAATAAAATCCCTACCACAATTTATACTCCTCAATGGCACTTAAGCAGTTCCAAAATAAGGAATAACCGAAGGCAATTGTCAAGGCCCAGTGGAGACTTCCAAAGCAGCAGCAGGGGGGAGGGGTAATAGGAAGCAGGCATTAAGACACAGCTAGAGATCAGGGGGAGTGGGTGAGGTCCAGTTTTCTCTTTTACTTCACGAGTAACAATTCCATTAATTCAAAGGTCCCTACTATTGGAGCTATGAAATGCACATGCATTCAACCTCCATCCCCACCCTCAATATAGCTTCCTAAGTATCAAGAAATCATCATCCTGAACTCATGGTTGCCACCAACCACCATGAGCCCAAAAACCGGATTTCTGTTTTTTCTCTGTGCAGCAGCCATCCTAATTCAATCACCTAAATTCAACAAAATTAAGCAAATCTATCACAATTAATAGAGATGCATGGAAGCTTCTAGTCAAATCGAAATGACCTGAGCCTCAAATTAAGAGGAGCCTTTGAAATCTGATAAGATGGCTTTTTCTTTGTTGGTGATCCTTCATAACAAAGAATGGTTATACCCTTGTGCATTATTTCACTGAAATCCAAGCCTAAGAAGCGCATTCAGTAGTGCAGAACAAATAAATAGATAAAGAAAACAACATAATCATCCTAAGGTAAATAAATAATCCATTACATAGCTGGTTGACAAAGACAATATCACCTTGTTAGGTAAGAGATTGACCTTGAGTGGAGGAGGTTGAGGGGGAGACAGATTATATTGAGCGACACTGATGATGATTGGTTGGCTTCAAACAATCATGCAGGGCATGCACGGTCAGATGCCAATCGAGTTCCTAGTCTTGTTTGGTCTCTCGAATACTCAAGTGCTTTGTAGTTGTACATGCTTGTCTAAATAGTTTGATATCTATCTATCTATCTATCTATATATATATATATATATATATGGATATATATATAATGTACTGTTTATCGGGTTATTAATTATGACATCAGGATATGGTGCAATTTATATTACGAAATCGGCATCTCATATAAATGATGGTTCAATATTCAACCATTGGTGTACTAATTTATTTATTGACATCATGATATGGGGGTGTTACATTGATGCTCATGTAAGGATTCCAAATCTTAACCCCTAGTTCGGTGCTCCACCTGAAGCCCTTAATTCCTGAGTTGGATGTAAACTTGTATTTTCAGCTTTCGTCTCACAATGCAACAGCGCTTTATAGGTGGACACACACATACTTGTGTAATAAAATGGCAGCCAAGGTAACACTTGAACATAAACAAGTAGTCAGGGAAAACAGCCCTCTAGTGAGGCACCCAGATGAGGCCTAAGCAATCCTACAGTAATTTATTCATTATTTAGAGAAATATTAGGATACTCTTTATCACTGAACATGTTACATTATATATGCATAGCAGTGTTAATATAAATAAGGGAATATGCAAGCAATTTATGACACTTAGTATGTGTATGTGTTTATGTGTGTATACGTATATATGTGTCTGTGTCTGTGTGTTATTCTTTGAATCCTAATTATTTACACAACCTAAGAACTCCAGGGAACTACTAGGAATGCCCGGACTCCCTACACCGCATAGTGTAGCATCTTAGCCATAGTTGTAACCATTGATGAAACAAAAAACAGGCCGCCTTCCGCCTAGGCAGCTTCCCCACCCTGTCTAGCAGCTCAAATTCCCCACCTAGGTGGGTGCCTAGTGCCCAAACCTAGGTGGGTGCACGAGTCCCGCCTTGCGCATGGGCGGAAAAGACCTTCAAACAAAATGGCTGTTTTCGACTTTCCCTCCTTCTAAGAGGAAAAAGACCACCTTCTAAGGGGAAAAAGAGGGTTTTCTTTTTTCCTTTCTTCTTCCCCCACCCGAAAAAGAGAGAGAGAGAGAGAAAGAGAGAGAGAGAGAGAGAAG